GAACATTCCGTTTATACAGAGTGTCCCGTAACTGGTGGTACAAGGGGGTGATTCTACGTGAAAAACTGAATCGAAAATGTAGAATAAAATTTTTTCATAAGAAGTATTTTTGATTCAGTGTTTCATGTAGAATCACCCCCTGCTCGCTAGTTATTCTCTTCATTATTAACTAATCTATTGCTAAATTTATTGTACCTTAAGATTCCGAGCTTACATTTAACATATTGCAATTAGTTTTTCGTAGGAAGCCATTTATTTGCAACTCGGCGAAGCGTAACTTCTAACGTTGTCGTGGGTCAAGTTGTTACAGCCTTGGGGTTGTTACAAAGAAAAAAATGTCGCTTTTCAGTGAAATATTTCAATTTCTGATGAAATAAAATACAATTCTATGAGTAATGTTTATTTATTAAGGTTCAAATCAACCAAAATATATTACTGTTAAAAGAAAACCAAACCAGTAGGTATAAAAATCATGAACATTATCTTTCGCTTTAGCCTTACATTCAACTGTTTGTACTTATTTATCGAGATCTATACTTATTAACAACCTTAAACCTAATATAATTAATTAACTTTCTAACAATATTAAAAATCATCACACGACTCGGCGCATTTGGCAAACTATGGAACGACGAAGAATGAAATCGCGCGGATAAGACGTGAAGTCGTCGACGTTTCAGAGATTAACCTGCACCAAACCAGCGGAACAAAGAACCCCAATCGACACCCGTGGCAATTTATGTGAATATTCTGTTTATGTATTGGAATAGTCTAATAAAAACTATTGCTACGTGTTCTTAAATGTCATTTGACCCATAAGGACAGAACAATTAATAATTTCGGCGTTAAATAATCGAAATAGACCAAAAAGTAACGACCGAAAAATATTTACTTCTCTGATACGTAACTATTTAGGTGATTGCTTAAAACCACAAGAATCGCTGTTGCAGACGCTATTAAAATGGATGACAGAGTGGCGTGATCGACTCGCATAGCGAAAACAATTGAAAGCACATTCCTATCTCTTTTCATTTTAAAGATATAACCATCGGAACAACTTACCCCGGGAACTTTTAGCCCCGGTCTCCCCTACCTATATTTTTTTCTTTTTCTGATATATTTAGGAAATTAGGATGATTTACATTTTTACACAGATACATGTCTTTATTTCAACAAAGATCATCATACAATAATTTCTATAATTTCAAGTAAGAAATCTGAAATCCGTCATTTTTATGGATTTGGTCGGTTGTCTGGTGTTAAAAAAGCGGCGTTAGTAGCGTGTTGAGTTACGTGTATATATTTCGACCTTTGAAAAATATTTCACTGAACAGCAGATCGCAGATTATCTTTCACGCGTTGAAGCATAAGGTATTCATGACTTCGACGTCCTTCTGAGTGAAATAGAAATGAACCAGGAACGGTGGCCATGAGTTCACGATCACGAGAGACAGGTTCTATTTTTTTTATTAGAATTCTAGCTTTTATCGTTAGAACCGTAGATACTTCTATGTTCTAATGATAAAGGATTACGACAGGAGTTAGAGATCAAAGTGTAAATAATTGGTCTGTAGTAAACACCTACAGAAGTTTAGATCCCAAGCTATTATTCTTCATCTGTTCTGGCCCCATTCTGTGTCTCTGAAAATCTTCACAATAATTCCTTTATTTTAGGATGAAATACGGGCATTTACGATGCACGGGAATCCCCATTCTCTCTGTCATCCATAAATCTATGAATTTATATTATTCATTAAGTATTATACTAACCTTTCGAGAAAAAAAAATTATTGTTACTTTTTATAATTATTAGTACAGAACGTACTTACTGAAACAGACAACGATCTAATATAACGAGTATACTTTTTTTAAATAAATATACAGAGTACTTTAAAACAATGTTGATACTTGTATGAAAAATTTGTACATATGTAGATGGAAATCACCTACAGAAGATTCAAAGAATGTGTAGAAAATGATGGTAAATCCTCTAAGTAGAGACTCTTTAAAAATACATTTATTAAGGGGGTATGCAACCTTGTCGGTTTCAAAAAATCCCAAATTTTTTTTGCCTTTCTTTCAAAGTTTTGCGTATGAAGAATACTATGGTAGGAGGGTTTTTTTTTTATTTAAAAAATTGACGAAGTTATAGGACTGAAAACGACTGCACGTCGTGTCGTTACAGAACCCGATGTAACGCTGTTAAAAGGGAAAGATTTCGTTTAATCTCTTGTCATTAATGTGACTTTTTACGTCTGCTGACATAATTTTAGGAAAACTACCTTACCGTACATTTTTAAATTATATCAACAGAGTATGTTGGACAATTGCTTCAAAAACAACATTTTGTAGCGAAAGTATAGTTAACATTGCGGCATTTATTGGTGTGGCGCTAGTATTTTTAATGATTATAGAAACATTCTGAATTTAAAGATTGGAAATAATGCACACAATATTTGTGAAAAAATAGACGGGTAGAGAGATGCGGAGATTCGGGCTTCGGAAAATTCGAAAGAAGTTCTACAACCGCTAAGAACAGCTAAGAAACAAGAATCTGACGATTTTTTAGAGACAAAAGGGACACGGAATCGCAGATTAAGAGTGAATTGTTAATAATTTTCTTTCATTTCAGAGAAAGATTAACCGAAAACTTTAGATGCGTTTTTCTCGAAACTATGTATTCCGACCTTGCACTCGGTAGATCTCCGAAATTCTTTATCCGTTTATCTTGAAATTTGTACACATTATTTTTCATAAAATAATCTTGACTCGTTAAATTTTTCTAAATATTCAGAGTTGATTCTTTTTCAGCGAAAACGATAGTTTTGTCTTTAACAAGCCGCCATTTTCTCAATTTTCAAAATTATTGAAAAATCCTACGCTGCATTTAAGATAATCTATATTTGTTTAAGTTGACATACAAATTTTTTATTTTCTATATTCCAGTCACTTTTACTGCTGGGTGCAAGCTAACAAGGTACCGCTGAACACAATGTAGAACTATACCATTTTATAATTTTGAAGTAATAAAAAAAATATGAAAATAGAGTTAAGATGTTACTTAACGTTCCCTATTAAAATTTTTCCTAAATATTTATAGGCGAAAAGAACGTTAGATTTACCCAACTTTTTTTAAGCTTCCATGGTTGCATACCCCCTTAAAATGATACATTGTGTTATCAGTTCTGTTTTTCTAAAGAAGTAACCCACTTCCATATACCTATGTGTTAACATCTTTTGTCCACAAGGAGTGGACAGGGGACAAAAACAAAGAAAAAAAGTTTATATTAATATGTGCCCTATTTGATCTTGTTTCAAAGCAAATGCTTACCTTCATACATAGAATGCCTTACATCAAATGCATGTTTGTCATTTCTTGATACGAATAATTATTTATTGTTATTTACTTAATTAGGCACTTTTAACGTCTAACACACAGCAAATAGAAAATTATTAAGTACTTCTAGTAAGAGAACTAAGCACTGAAACTGCACTATAAACTGATACCAGTAAATTTAATCAACAGAATGTGTGAAATCAATAAGGACAAGAAATATTCACATGATACAGAGGATTGTTTATAAATACAAACCGAGGATGATCATTTCGAGCACCTTCTGTGAAGATAAGCTCTCTCTGATTCTTGAAACGCAAAAGTAGCTATAACTTTGAAACAAGGTGAAATAGGATACATGTTTATATGAATTTTTCTCGTTGTTTCTGTATCCCCTGTCCATTACTGAAGTGGGTCTCACATATTATAAAGCACCCTGTATATTACAATAATTCAATACAAAGATACAGCAAACTACACATGCCTTCCATTCATTTCAATCGTTTCGGCCAGTGCACCATACAAACACGAATAGAGACCACATAATGAACCCTTCAAATAACACATAGGATATGCGAACCAGGGTAGTTTCTCCCTCTATCAACAAGGGAAGTCGTCCCTTGATGAAACCAAAGAATCGATATCCCCAAACGACAATCATCCTCTCTTCTCTTCAGGTTCATTTCTCGTTCCTCATAACTTATGAACGACGAGACTCGTCGTGTGTTCCTCCAGCGGTTCCTCTCTTTGATCGTCTTCCTGTGTTTCGAGCACATACGACCTGTGACAGTCCACGGTATATTTGTATGTACGACTCGTGTCGAGATCAGACCATCGCCATCTTCGGAGTGATTTGCGAGTCGAAGAACGCTTCCGGAAGAACGGGCGATGGACGATAAAGTAACCGTTGTCGAATCTCGATTTAGGGGAGAATATGAGTAGAACGAAGGGAATTGCTCGATAAGTGAAATAAAATGACGGTAATAAACGTGATATTCGAGGATTTAATGGCCGTTTAAGATGAATTTGAGTCCCTGAGCAAGCTTTTCAGTTAATTAAATAATTTTTAAATTATTTAAACAATCTTCGATAATTTAATAATGGTGATAAAATAAGATTCTTGAGAACTGTGAATCTTTGAACATTTCCTTGAAGGTTTCTTCCAAGTTACTTTCACACTCTCCAGTGATTTGGTTTATCAGTTTGTAATCATTCTGATTGCAGTATTCGAGGCCTCCAGAGAACAGGAAATCGAGCGTTCTAACACGGCCTATCCCTCTGTATCCTGCTGCCGATGGAGTGAGTTCGAGATCGCCTTATAATTACCTCGTTTCACGATGATCCGTGTAATTGCACGGTATCGTCGAAGGAAACGGAAAATCGAAGGAACCGTTCGTTCGTCCGTTCGTTCACTTCATGGATCGGGAATTAAGTTGATTATTACCCTTCGATATTTCATTACCCTTCGATTGTTAAATCATTGAAGATCTACTTTATCTGAAGAAGTCGTCGTTTCTGTTCAGACATACGTAAACACAGTGGACCAAGAAGAATGGAGATGAAAGGAGGATCATCGACACATTAAGACGACTCTTCAGTCGTCAATCTCTTCCGGATAATCCTTTGTACCTGTTTCTGAACGAGAAATTTTACGAATATATCTAAGATGTCGATCACAGCGTCCACGGAAAGGATGGACACGTCGAAAGACTTGCCGAAGAAGAAGTTCGTCAACACCAATCTTCTGTCGTTGAAACTTCTATTGTTTCTCTTCTTCGGAGGTATACTTATTGAATTTGAAAAAATTCTCTTCTAATTATTAAACTTGCAATTTTTTCCCAATAATATCATGATTAATTTTTTCTCAATAATATCATAATTAAATTTTTCTCACTAATATAAGACGACATTGATTTCTTTTTGGCTCCATCTCAAATTTCAATAAGTAAATAATTATTTCAGGGTTGGGATGTCTCTTTCCGTTTCTCCCTCTACACATGACGGAAATGGGACTGAGCATCGAACAGATCCGATTGATCTCGATGATCTCGCCAGCAGTCGCGATCTTGGGACCTCTGATCGCTGCTCCAATCGCTGACAAATTAGCTGGTCATCAGGGAAGAAACGACAAATCTTCGACTGGTCGTTACCTAAGGGTGATGATCGCTATTGCCTGCATCCTGTCCGCTATTTTCTACGCTTTTCTCATATTCATTCCAACGGCGAATCGTATCGAACCACCTAGAGAGAGGAGACCCGGTTTGAAGTTCAATTGCGATAAAACAGGAGCAGTAGTTTTGCAAGAGAGATGCAAGGATCGTATTACTTGTCACAGATGGTCTGACGAGACCAGAGTTGGACCATTGCTATTAGAGGGTTGCAATTATGCCTGTTATCCAGTAGGATTGAAACGATGGCATTCTGAGAATAATGATGCGCCCACCATTTCTGGGACCACTGATTCTGACTTTGGTGTTCTAGATGGAAGTGGTGACACCACTGTGATTCCTCTTGAGAGTGAAATGTACGCTCAGGTGAACATACAGGTGAATATATTGAAACATAATAGAGTACAAAGCAAGAGTAATTAAAATTCATGAAACATGTTATAGGATCAAGAGGAGACAAAGAAATTGCGAAGGTTTGTCATGCCAGACAGTGAACCTCCTCATTTGTGCTTCAAAGAAGGTGACAATGTCGTCTGTCATGTTTACACTAAGTATTCTGGCAACTTGGCCATAAATGCCACCTTAGGACAGGCTTTGAATAATGTAAGAGATCAAGATTGGTGTGCATATCCTCTGTCTGAGTATTTTGCTTGTCGTATACCTCCAGAACTGGAAACTGCGATGGCAGAAGCATATCAGAGTTGTTCCATTGAATGTGACTTAGTTGATCCTTATACTCTTCCAGGTAATATCAATTTAAAACCCTTTGTACTTCAAGAATTTATTGATACAATCAAACAGCAATTCCAGCACACCTTTTTTAAAAACCAGAAGGTTTATTTTCAAAAGATAAAATATAAATGAAACATGAATTTTACATTTTAAAGCTCTCCATGGTATGGTACATGTAGAAACAATCTCCTAACTTTGAATTGTGATGCAAATTATGCATATGAGTTGGTTAATAGTATTGGTAATATTCTATTGCATTTGATGGAACAATTTTATTTCATTTCAGACAGTGTCTTCGTAGAGAGTCAGTGTCAGCAGACAAAAGATTGGTCGCACTTGGTATTCTGGACGTACTTGGCCATTCGTTCAGCAGCTGACATTTTCCCAACGACAGCCGTGGCTTTGATCGATGCCGCAGTTGTAATAGCAACCAGAGAAACGTCCTGCGGGCGTGGAGACGTGGGTCGTCAATTAGCCTTTGGTTCCCTTGGGTTTGCCATCTTTGGCCCCTTAACCGGCTATTTGTGTACTCTTATAGAAAACTTGAACTCTTTTTACTATCTACCAATCGGTATGCATGCCGCGATGATGCTTCTGGCAGCCCTTGTCGCTCTCTGCGCCAACGGTATGCCTCTCAGCCCGCCAGAATGGTGGTGGCATACTAGAAGCGGCATGCTGGCACTTCCTATGAGCGCTATCAAGAGATACGGCAGCGAAACTGCCGCATTGGTAATTGTACTGATCGTCATGGGAACCTTCTGGAGTGCCATGGACAGCTACTTACCTTTGTAAGAACTTTTATCAGTCGTTTAAAATGATTTTATGCGGGATGAAGTAAGTAAACTGATCTTAAATTAGTCAAGTAACGATAAAAGTAGTTTAAAAGCAGTTAAATGCCAATTTGCTTCTCTATTCTTATTTCTATTTTTAACGACAAAAATATTATACTGTTTTATTTAGGCATTTGCAAAAGTTAGGGGGTGACGAACTCCCCATTGGCGTAGCCATGACCGTCGGGGCGGTACCAGCATTTCTATTCCTCTGGAAGTCTGAACATCTGGTTGACTACTGTGGCCACAGCAATCTTCTTATTACTGCCTTTACTGTGTATATTATTAGGTAGGTAAGTTTTTGCTTAACGCAAATAACAGCAAGATTTAACTTCAACGTTGACACTTTTCAGGTTTACTGGTCTAAGTCTCGTGGCAGAACCGTGGTGGTCTCTGATCTCAGAGGCCCTCGAAGTATTCACGTTAGGCATCATGTGGGTTACCGCTATTCTTTATCTAAGACATCTCGTCCCACGTCATTTAACTGTGACTGCCCAAGCACTGCCTGTGATTGCGCATTTCTGCGTTGGTACGAATTTCCAATGCGACTTTGCGAATCGCTTAATCAATTTAACATATGTAGTAACGTTCTGAACGTTTTTGACTTAACATAGGTCGATGCATCGGAGCCGTGATCGGTGCTTACATCAACGTCGACGAAGGTAATATCGTTGACTCGTTGAGATTCGTTTACCGTTGCATGGCGGTCGCCGCCGCGGCTGTCGCTGCTTTATACTTCGTCCTGTATCATGGCCTATTGAAACCACGGTGCCATGCGCACACTATACAAGGTCCACGACAACCACCCACTGTTGTACAGGGTAAGCAATTGTCTTAATCTGTATACGTAAACACTTACAACTAACCTGTATTTCATTCGTTATACACAAGCTGCTATTAAGGAGTATGAACTGAGTGAGTACCTTGAAATCATTCAAATGGTCTAAGTGAATTTTATAATTTTTTTTTTTAAAGCAGCTGTTTTAATTTCTTCAGTTTTCCAATGAAGAAAACGAAATTTCTTTACTGACTAATAATTTATTTATTCTCTGATAGCTTTACAGTATTTTACATTTCCCTTCAGTGTAATGATTTTTTTTTTAATTATTTGTTTTGTATACAGCAATGAACGGAAACGGAAACTACACGCCGCTCAGGGTGTACCACAACGGTATGGGTAGAAAAGGTCAATTCCGTTATTAAGAAATTAGGAAAGGAAGAAAAAAGGAAAAGTGCGTTTAACGACACTTTAACTGTCACGTTACGGTGCTAGTGATTTAGACTGTCGTTGTTATTGCAGTTAAAAAAGAAAGAAAGAAAAATTGTCATTGCTATGCGATATGTGTAAAAGTGGATTTCCACTGCGCAGCCTTTAGCGTTCCTTCATGTTTTGTCTGAACTCCTGTGACGAAATTGTCACACCTCGTTAATACTGTCATTAATTTCCCTTTATACCAGCGAATTTTGAAGAATTAATTTGCTCAAGTGTACTTTAAAAACGTCGACGCGAGTTTTTACATTTACCAGTACCGAAATGAGATTACTGAATTGAAAGGAGGTAGAAGTACTCAAACTTTGAGTCTTAGCTTGTATTATTTTTTTATTTTATTTTTATTTTATATTGTTTTATATGTTAACATTTATTTTCATTTAAAGAGTATATCAAGAGCAAAAAAAAATCTGCTTGGCTAACAATCTTTGAGTACTCGTACCTACGCCACTAATGAATAGTAATAACGTACTACTCGATGATTACGACTCTAAATGTAACATATTTGTAATGCTTTTTCATTCTCATAATCTTTGTATTCTTTATAGGTGAAACACGAGCAGTTTTTTAAATGTCGCGAAAAATTACGAACAAAGTTTCGTAACTCTGTTGCGTTCGATTCTTTGTATACTCGACTGCGATCACGTATATATTTACGTGTTCATAACATGTTTTTAAAGAAAAATTTCTACGGACCTGTTGTATGTATCTACTGAGAAATATTTGTCTCTCTATGTAGGAATATAAGAGTTTACCTGAACGATAAAAGAAAGTAATATATTGATTTCTGAGATCGATATCTGTACACGAAGAAAACGAGAAATAAATAAAACTGAGCAAAAACTCTATCTTTGATTTTAACATGAAACTGAAATGAATTATGGACGTTATGAGTACAATACTTTGAGAGAGTCTTCCTTCTAATAAATCCTTTCTATCAATGAAAAATTAATAAAATTAAAAAGATTGCAACTTTTCTGATATCCATGAAAAAATAACCGTGTTCAACCATTTTGTAAGAAATTTATTCTTTACATTTAGCTTTATCTAAAATTAACAGATGAACTTACTGTGTTTGCTATAGCTTGAAATTATAACATGATACTATGGATAAACTAGGTTAGGACATAAAACAATGACCATGGATACTGTTTACGAGCTTCTTTTCCGCCATTCTCATGTGTCCATTCGTTCACATCCATTTAATGTTTATTAACTATATATAAATGTAGGTTTATCGTTGGATATTTATACGAAACGTATGTATATAAATATCACAACTGTTTTACATATATGTAGATGCAGTAGAAACTTCATCAGAGGAAATTCTCAAAGTTTTACAGTCTTACGCGATAGTCTTGGATGATGATGATGATGAATCTAAAGAAATATTACAAATACCTTATCTCAATAAAAGCAATTGCTGACACATATGAAACTTTTTTAAAATTTCATCTAAGAAAAACGATTCCAAACATTTTACATCATTCTAGATTATATCATGTTTGTACAAAAGGATAATAACAACTACCAACTTATTCATTAATGAACGACCTTATTGTCATTCTTAATCGATTACTCAACATGTCATTTTTAATAAATTAACAAAATAGATTCAAAATTCTCATGAAATGTATATCCAAGTGTCTTAAAAATATGGAGTAATTGATTAGAAATTTTGTAACACCATCAAATGTATGAGAATTACTTTGTCAAATTCAATATATAAAATCATGAACTTATTTCATAAAAGTAAAGGAAAATAAAATGTGCATCGGAATACATAAAAAGATGTAATATATAAATCGTTCAAAGTAATACTCCCACAACTGGTTAACATAAATAACGAATTCGACAACGCTCGAAATACTAATAAAAACTCACGAAAGGTACTCAATAACTATTATTTAATTAATCGTCAATAATAGTACAGTCATCTTCGTTACCGCTTTCAAAATCTATGTTATTAGTCCTACTTGAGTCATGTTCCTCGTTTTTTAGTACGTTTGCCACACAAACATCATCACTGGTAGAAAATTGTCTATTATACGTGTCACCTTCATTCTGCGACTCGTCAATATGCATTGATTCATTCGTGGGAGTCTTTTTGTCTAAGTCATTATTTATGTTGCTAATCATGTTTACAAGATCATCAACAGCCTTGTAGGTGATCGAATTCGCCTGTTGTTGTCCAGCAGAAGGCTTCAAGTCACTCTCCTTCCTAACACAGATACTTGGGTTACTGGTACCTGGAACAGCCGACTTGTCCATAGTCTCTAGCATGTCTGAAATTAGAGATCCTATTAGATCCTTCAGAGAAGTCTCATTTCGCTCAGATAGCTCCTTAGAATCCCCTGTTTGCATACGTTGAACTTCCGTGTTCTGGCTCTGTAGGAACTGAATGTAGTGTGACTCATAATCACTAGATTGCTTATTGGCATGGATGGCAGACATCGTAGAAACACTATCCTTCTTCTCAGCTTGTTGAGTCTTCAGCGCGGATTGCCTTATACACTTATCATAATCCTGTAATTCTGTATCATATATCTGCACTGACTTATCCACCAACACAGCAGAATTGTTGCCTACGCCTCGTTCCGCGGTGGTCTTCTTTGTGAGGGCAGTTATTCCGTCGATCGCGTTTGTATTGCCAACTAGCTCAGATGAAGCAATAGTACCGTACTCCATATCGGTACTAGTACCGGTATCCGAGTCAGACTCGTTTGTACAGGTCATATCCAGAGGTATTTCCTCAAACCTTTCGATCCTCTTACGAGTATTGCTTCTGATAGAAGATACATCTCCTGTCGTCATCATCTGATACCTCTTCCACCTATTATATTCGCGAACTATTCTGTCATTGATACACGCTAGTTCAGTAATAGTGTTGCGTATTTCACGATGGAATTCTATAACTAACAGACGAGCGTCGTTCAGCTCGTACTTCGTGAGCTCCTCTCGTTTCGATACCTCAAACAAACCTTGAAATCTATTCTTCAGTTTCGTTAGAATAGTACTAACCTCTTGGCCATGAGGAAGCAACCTTTGGTTCAATGTCTTCGCGTTACGCTTCTCTTGCAGCTCTTGCCTCCTTGCGTGGTCATAGTTGTTCTTTGAGCTCACCAGAGCAACAGGTACTGCTCTCTTGCTATTGGCATGTCTCCTAGAGGAACGTGGTAAAGCAACAACCACCTCTTCTGGATCACTTTCAATCTCTATCACATTCGAACTCGCCGTTGCCGCCCGTGTTTGCGATTCTGGCAAGGAAAAACGCGATTGATTGAGTATGTTGACATTCTGATTAGGTATGGTAACCATCGGAGCTGGCGCAGAGTGCATCGTTTGATATATATTCATTTGTTGGTTCATTTGTGCGTTTATTTGATTGATCTGATTCGTCTGGTTCAATGTATTAGGTATATTTCGGAGAGATATGATAGGGGATGCAGGTTGCAAGAACTTGGAATTCGCAACAACGTTCATAATGGGAGCGTTGTACATCGTTGATGGCTGAGCCACCACTGAGTTCACTCTGTGATGCACTGAACTCGCCTGATGCTGCGAGATGATCGTTCCGTCCTCACTGACGGTAGCATTTTCACATTCAACTAATGTTTGCTCACACGAGAACAAGGACGACAATATTTCACTGCGATCCATAGAATTGTCCTCCGATATACCGCTGAGCGATCTATCGGACATTGGTATGTTGCTGCCATTGGGGAATTTCCCTTTACCGCGACCCCTTTTTTTACGCTTTGTAACAGCATTTGATTCTATTAATTTAGGTATGTAAGTTTTGTCATCCTCCTCAGAATTGGAACCTTGTCTTCGACGCTTACGTTTCCTTCTCCGTGGACAGCAATTAGACTCGTCAGCGTTCATTTTCATATCTATTTCCTCTTGAGACCAGTTACAAGTATTTTGCAACACTCTAGAAATATTTTAAACATACAGACTTAAATCTAACCACAGAATACGTGAAATAACTGCTTCACATATTTTTATTTGGTAATTGTCAATTACCTCATTGCTTGAATATACTGAAGTAAAGCCCAACAAGTTCCCCTTGCAGCATACAAATCTGTTGGATCACAGACAAAACACTTCCACCTTTCATCTGCTTCAATTTTCTTTCGTAATATAGGATCAAAGTTTCTTTTGATACATTTGCAACAGAAAGTATTACTGCAAAAGGAACAACAATATAAATTGCCACCATTTGCACACCATCTACAAAACATATCTGTAGCATCATCACCTGTAAAATATGATTAAAAAATACTGTAAAATGTTGTTGTATCTTTTACGTGTACCTTCCAATAATGCATGTACCTTGTTCAAAGGTGCCATCTCCATAAAAATCCCTACATTTTGCACACAACAGTGTATGCAGTACAGGGTGTTCAAACATATTATGAGAATTTGCAGGTGCAGATCCAATGTGTGTATCACATGCTGTGCAATGTAATCTATGAAACCGTACTGTTGATATATCTGAAACATATACCAATTTAATACTCATTGCATTTTAACAGATTACTGACCATAATTATCATTAGTATAAATTTTTTAATTCAATACAAAAAATTGAATTTTTTAACTTAAAACATATATTTTCGGGATTTAGACAAGTCCACCTATTAAAGTACAAAATATATCACATTAAAAAATAGTATGTTCCATGATATGTTTCATTAGATCAATATTGTACATTTTTTCTCCAAAATCCGTGATATAAAAAATTACTATAAAGTGCGCTATAAAGTACTATTAGTGCGCAATTTTGATTGCTCTATCTTTATAGCTGTACACGTTTACGTGATGTTTTTTCACATCGCAAAAACACGCAAAACAAGCCACATGCCATGTCAAAAAATATCACGTACCAATTCGTCGAACAGGAATGAATCGACAAACGACAAAAATTCAAGCACACGTCTCAAGCTTACCTTCGCTAAACATAAGCTTGTAAAAGTTACGTTCTTCTTGGGAAATAGCTACTGGAACATTTGTCATGATCGGAACTAATTCCTTGGGAGTAACTGCAACATCAAGTAGGTTAGACATTACACCTGACGATAACTCTCACGGAGTTATCCTACGGGACTTCGTAAGTCTCACCATTTTCTTTGATGTCCATCTCTTTCACTTCATTCACTTGTACTTCGAGCATGCTCGAGATATCCATCGCTAACGTGTTTCTGATCACGATCACGGTCGACGTTACGTTTCAAAACACAGGTTATCGCGCCGCCATTTTCCTGCGAGCATACCGGCCTGAAATTTCGGCACGAGATCGTTGGAACGTTGTGAAAAATATGCTTCAAAGAAAATCCCCTATTCCATCGACTCGAACACGACAAGGAAATGAAAAAACTTAAGACGCTCCTAAGAAGCATTTTTTTTTTCTTAGGAATCTCTGTAGGAAAATTGTCGCTATTCTCCGGATGTCTTTTTTAACAATTTTTTTTAGAGACAACTTCATAAGTTATATAGAATACTAAGAATCTTTTAACGTATAAATTAATTATGTATATAGTAACAATTTTTAAGTTTGAATAATCCATCGCGCGAACGGAAACGCAACTCACCCCTTTATTCATTGCTGCGATTACGGAAATGAATTTATTTACAAATGGCGACCACTTTTCGGATTTCGTTGCAAAACAGGTTGGATCGATCGGGAATTTTTGAAAAGTGCAATTATGGCTGATAACACCGAGGAATCCAAAGAAATTTCTTTGAAAAAATCTGCGGAAAAATTATCAGAGGAGATGCAAAGTATGGCTAACTACAAAAGCCTTTACACGGAAATTCAGGTAAATACAAAGTATGACTAGTAATAAACGACCATAAATTTTTGGAAACAAGAAATTGCGTATTCAGGGGCATATCTACTTGCAAAAAAAAAAAATTAATTTCCATCTAGAAGTTAGATTCCAAAGATTCTCAATCCGCTCTTGATTCAGAAACCGGAAATGCAAGGTATTCGAAAAATCAAAAGCATTACCAACAATTTCCTTATTACTTTTTTTAGAAACTCATTGCTTCTACCGCGGTAAAAAGAGAAGATTTTAAAAACACGTTGGTGGATGCGCTGAAAAGCAACGGTTTAGAGACGGAAATTAGAAATACTGTGTTTCACTGGGCAAGATCACAAGTGCGTAATTTCGATTGAAAACTTTTAATTATAATTTTCATTCGTTAACTGAAATTTTTTAAAGGGTTCGTTATCTTCTACGTCAGTACCACCCACGGAGGAAGTGGATCTAACGTACTTGAAAAAAGCTCAAATCCAATGGGAACGTAGAATACAAAAATCATTAAATTCAACGTGTAATGAACTAAACGTGCCATTGGCGCGCATAAGAACAAGCAGTGACCGCGAGGAACTTGCTGAGAAATGGAACGAATTGAGCACTTACGATATCGGTGATTTTTATACTAATAAAAATATTAAAAATTGTATAACAATAAATTCCAGATACATTCTTTAATTCACATTTAGATCTGTCACAATACAGGCCTCTGTACGCCCCGAAAGATTTCTT